CACATAAACATCAATAAAGATTATAAACCTGCTTTCATTATAAAGCTTCATTAAACGCGCAACATAATTAATGTCAGTCTCGATAAAGCCAAGTAAATGATTATATAGCGCGGCGACGAAAGAAAGGCATATTGTTCAGACGCCCTGATTGACCCGGGGTGAGGACGCGGGGTCACCGCTGTGATACCCGCATATTGTTCAGTGTCTTTGTTGGTACTTGCTCTTCACTGACAGTAAATACTAGTCATTTAAATGTCATTGGTTGTACAGTTTACAATTAAAAACTTTTGTACAAAACCTTTGACGCACTAAACCCATGGATAGTGTAGTATATCAATCTATACATTATAAAAAATCCATTAAAATTGAAATCTGAATTGAAGTCTGTTGAAAATAAAGAGAAGAAAACCTCAGTAGAGTTTCGACAGACACTCAGATACGACGCTAATCCTAAATACTAATTGATGATAAATGGGCAAACGATGGATGAATTCATACGTTAAACTCCGAATAGATTCATTCGCGTGCGCGAGCACAATAAGAAATCGATTGTCATTTGACCATCGGCGGCTCCGTTATCTTTTCACGTTGACAATCCATCAACTGGAGCGATATTAGAAACTATACAATTGAATTCAGAGACAAGACCTTGAACCTCTGGGAACTAATAAAAGACTAATGATTTAATAAATCAAGACAAAGGTCTCGTCCCAATGACTCCTAAATGGACGTAATTGGGCGGCAATTGGCCGCGCGTGTCGCGTCATCCGTACATCACCGCGAGCTCATTAGCGGTACTTTCTCACACCTGCGCCGCAGCCGCGACAACAATAGGCAACTAAGCAAATTATTAAGATTCCACCTAATCATGACATGATGCTGTAAATATAATGTTTTTCAACGTTCAAACATTTTAATCCCCTAATTGCATTGTTCGTAATCTAATTACTACGATACGAAACTTGTTAATTAGTGATTCACTTGATTAAATGTGTTGTAAACAATAAAAACGTAACATTATATTTAGCAGTGTTGATGTAAATATTTATTTATAATATTGATTAACGATTTGTTTAATTAACAAACTGATTTATAAAAAATAAAAAAATAATTAGATTGATCATATAACATCTTTTTCAAACATACGCGTAATTTGCTCTACGAAAATGTAGAGACGTCTATTATACTTTATTCGCTCTAAGTGAAATTAAATTACGTTCAAGAACTTTTTCGCAAACTGAACAATAAAACGCGCTAAATAATTAGTAATATAAAAAAGCATTGATTTACTGTGAGCTAATCATTAACAACATAAAGATGAATCAGTAGTATCTTTTAATTTTGACAAAGTACGGGTCAATTACCTTTACCATAAGGCTATGTTCCCAAGCTATTAGCATGAGTTAGCACCATGTGCACACACGATGGTATGCCTATGGTGTAATCAGTAGACAAATGTCCAAGATTGAGTAGTTAATAAAACAAACGAGTAATTATAAATGGCAAGGTAGTTTATAGCTGAGATCAAAAGATCATTAAAAACACTTAAAAAAACTCCTTACTGATTGCTTTTTCATTCAAAGGATTTATTGTCTAGTGTGTATGTATTACGCTTCTCTTGTAAACAAATGACAATAACTAATATGTGTGTGTTCATTACATCTTTCAGGATTGAACCAACAACTTTTACATTGATTTCCGAATCAAGAGCAACCTGATGGCAAAAATAAGTCTTGGGTTTGCTGCTGTCACTGTAAGCACAACCGAACCGCATTCAATAATGTACTCTGATCGTCATACAAGAACACAACATTGCATCGATTGCAATACTATAACTAGTAGAACTAGTAGCTACAGAGATATGCAAAATGTCACTTGCTCCCGGTGAAGGAAAACGTCATACTTACGAAGTACTTCGACTGGTATTTAGAATAGTTCATAACATAACTGTTGACCCGAATCCAGGCTCGGGGGCCGAGCAAAGAAACAAATAAAATGGAAGTAGCTTGATTCGATTCCTGGTTTACGATTTTGTAACTAATTTCAATTTCAAGGTATTTTGAAATAATTAGGTATATTACTGGTTTTTCAAATGTCACACTTTTCACATTACTGAACAGAAAAAATATTCAAAAATCCTTCTCATTACGAGTATCTTGTCATTTTCATATTCCTAGAATTCAGTTTATGCATCATTCTATTTTAAAAGTGTGCCTTTGCTTATATAAACTAAGTTATGGAGAAGTATAACTTGTAGTTTTGTATAACCTAAGCTTGTGCATTGCCAATTTGCCATTAACAAACAATTAAAAATAGGCTTGAACTCAATAATTAAGAGCTGGCCGTTTATCGAAGAATTTGTCATTTCAATACAATGTAGGGATACAATACTGCGTCCACCAGCGGCAATTATTTAGTGTCGTTATTACCTAGAAGCGTGCGGCTGTCAGTGCCAATGATTATGCGAACCACTATTTGATGCATATTAATAAAGCAATCCAGTTTTCAATCTCCTGTTATTCCACGGGTATTGGAAATGTATTTAAAATGCACCCAAGCTACATAAACGTGGTCAAAAATTATGTTATAGATCAACGCAACATGTTGTAACGAGACTGCATTATATTTGTGTGATTTAATATTTTGTGAAATTCCTTTAAGTCCATGTTGTCAAGCTAGCTAGATCATAAACAATATGAAAATCGATTAGATTCTGTTGGAGATGGTAATGTAACTTCACATTTGGCAAATTCACTACTTCTGATATTAACGCATACCTATATGCGGTTTGTTATAGTTAGCATGAAAATGGTTTACGCTCAGCAATGGAAGCCGAAAGACAAAAAAAATAATGGAAAAATTATAAAATTAAAAATTTACGCGATAATTGCTCAATCGTTATATTAACTTTATTAATAATTTTACTTGATTGAACTCGACACGCAAATCATGTACCTATAGTATATGCTACGATTTGCGTAAATGGCACCAAGGAAGGACTGGTTGGTACGTGTGAGCCTTGATCAGACGCAGCAGTCCTGTTGTGAATCACGACTCAAATTTATTGCTCGCAATTAGCTGACAAGTCGCTTATGTAAGAACAAACGTGTGCACTTAATGGCTGTGCGTTTTCCTGGTGATTAAGCTGGGCTTCACAACTCATAGCCTATTTGTTTGTTGACCCACTGCTGGGCTTATATACTTTATAGAAAATAATGATTTGCAAACACCTGATAAAACGTCTAATATCAAGAAAATTGTTGACCTAAACCAGGTAAAACTTTATAAAGCCTTAAACAATCATTTAAAATGTGATATTATTGGACCAGATAAACTTTATTTGAAATAGGTAAACTCTTTTGTAATCCAACTGCACCAGTGTTTTCTCTCAATATGGTTCAAAATCAATTTATGAGAAAGTGTGTAAGTTAGCTTCCTCAAAACATTATTAAAAGTAAAATAATTAACAGATTGCTATTGATTTCATTCCATTGATTCTATGAAAATTATTACTATCAGTATTTATCACATTTAAAATACACTTTTTTCTAACTATAAGTGCAACTAATGTAAGAAATAGTATAATTTTCTAGAATAGTAATTAAGAAAAGATTTTTACAGGTATTGGCAATTTCCCCAATGGAATGGAAACTTTTCAGTTTATGTATTAACCAACTTATCATCATAGGAAATGTCAACTGTGTGTAGTTACTAATACCATGAGACAGGAAAGCCATAATAATAGTAAACAGAAATAAATGGCTGATAATACATATAATTGAATGAGATATGGCCCTCAATTTGCATAATCTGATTGATTAAAGAGGAAAATTGTGTTGATTATTTCCTTGTATTTAATAATGCATTTGGTTTATAAAATATTACTGAACGTTACGCAACCAGCTCTCATTTAACTGTCGAAAAAGATTTGCGATGCAAAATGATTTACTTAGTAAGTACCTATTAAGTTATAATGTAGCATGCTTTAAAAGTTCCCGTTCAAATTAATCACTTCAAATTGATAAAAAAATGTAGTATTCTTTACAACAGTTAATAAAGTATGACTTCTTAAAACCATTTAATTCAATCACGGCGAATATAGCCATGAATATTGTTAAGTAAGCAACATAAATAATTTTTATTGGTGCACATTGCAAATTGCCAAAGAAATGAGTTTCTATTTATTTAAATTTAGATGCTATGTTAAATGATTTAAATGATTCAGCAAAATTGTTGAGTGATTTAAAGAAAGCAGTTTTGATCACTTCATTTGAATTGCCAATCGAAATCGTTTGTGCATATTATATCCAGTATATTGTGATTATTAATGTGGGCAACTAACATTTTGTTTTTCTAACAATTTGGCGATAAATCATAGAGTTTGCTCAAGAGCGCAACTAGTCGCAAGATTTACTGCGATATAATGCTCAATTTGAACAGAACAAAATATGCAAATTATTCGCCAGCTCGGGACCGCCTGCTTCCACATAAAAATGAAACAAATAAATTTTGTTGAAAACATAAACTTTATTTTGTCCAAATATTCTTTGTCAACTCGAGTTCCGCTAAATGCGTAATCACAACGTTTATTTATTTAATATTTACAATAAGTACACAGTGACAGTTTTATTTATTCACACGCGAGACAAAAAATCGTATCCGAATCGTGTATCGATCGGGTTCACCGGCGGGGCCGGCGCAACGTGTAAAATAAAAAAAGAATGTCACAGAAAAACATAGCGAAGGGCAAGATAGTGGCCGGGACCGCTCGCGGCGCTACCAAAACCGTGGGGCCTATAAATTTAATACTACAACGAAAGGCCGCGCCGCACCTGCCGGCATTTTTTAAAACATATTTTACGGCGAAACGCAGAAAAACTGACGGCGGCTCCTCCGCGGCCGCGGCCGCCGGCCCCCGCTCGCGGACTTATCGCGGGCGCTAACTGAAATTGCTTCAGCTCGCCGTTAACTTATGCAAAATACACGCTGCTCATTTATGCCTTTATCCCGACGTTGAAATTACAGTTAAAGAATGATAACTAATTATTTACAAGTTTGCCTACTGGTATTAACTAAAGTATGAAAAATAAACGCCTCAAGTCAACAATACAGAGCTATTTGATGATAAAATAAATACACTGTACATAATATTTACGGAAACGCAAATACAATCTACGTAGTTCGAGACTAACAAACACAATACCACTCAAATGTTAAATAAAAATAACAATACATTATGCTCTACAATATTCTGACTACTTGATTTACTACCATATTTAGGGTTTTGATTATTTCAGTAGTTATGTTTTGAAATGCGAGTTTTATTCCTCGAGTTGTAAAATTAACTGAATTAGAAATAAAAATTGCATTAATATTCAATAATTGTTTAACTAATTGAATACAATAAATAATCCGTTCAATTTAATGATTGCAGATATCGTAAATGTTATTCAATGATAATTATTTAAACATCAAAATTATAAAACTTCTAATTTTATACAAATTTACAATGAAACAGTCGTTGATAATCTTTAATTATATAAATTAATACTAATTGAAAGAAAAAACTAACTAATAAATGATTACAGCAGTTATTTTAGTTATGACATAATGTTTGTTTAACTGAAGTATCGGGTTCGGTAGCGATCAGTCGCGCACTGCGAAGGACTGTTCGTTTGCATGGAATAAACTAACAGATGTATATTTTCACTTTTGATCTAAATTGAGCAAATTCGTTTATGCAAATCGGGCAATATCGCAACTGACTGCATTTTTCCATTCCAATGCCGGGTTCTTTTTTTTCCATTTCTATTCCTCCGACACAAAAAAATATATTGAGCATTCCCGCTGCAAGTGCTGCAACGTATACGCTTGTTCTACGTATGCGCGATAATTAATCGTGTTTAGTATACGCCGGGGTTTTTTATTTGTTCAATAGAGCCGAAATACGACATAAAATTGAAGCGACACAACTAATAATGATCATTATTAAAAAAAAACATTGAGATCAAGCTTCATTACGCGTTCGCAAAATAGATATTGTCTTTAAAGAGATAATAATAATTTCAAAAAGGAAAGCTTGGTTTGAAACTGAATGGTATGTTTAACTTAAAACACGCCGATGTATGCTTATTATCGTCAATACATTTTATCGGAATGATTACATCTGTCCATTTGTATCTCAGAACGGTTATCTCGAGAACAAGTCAGCGCTTTTATTATATTTTTTGGCTTTTTGATGAAGGCTTGTATCCTAAATATAACTTGTGGCAAGATGCGAGTATGACATCTTGAAAACATGAACGAAAAAATCGATTTCGTTAGAATACGATCCAAAAACGCTGTCCAGAGACAAACCTAAAGCATAAACTAAAACAGAGCACACCGTCATCTATTAGACATCAACGCTCGAGCGACCGACCCGTCTCGCCGGAGAAACTAAGATACGCCTGAACAATCATTCATAATTAAGATCGTTGGGTTTCAGAATGTCAGGCAACGCCTGTCTACACATGCACTGGCTAGTTCAGCCGGAGCTGAGCCGTGCTGGCCCGGGCTAGGCCTCGCGAGAGGCCGTCGTTGCGGCATCGTCAGCCAGCTATTGTTCGCCCAAGGTCCGGCAGCGAGGTGTTATGTCGTGTTTCACCGCGCACACGCTTCATTAGACCGCAGGAATGTCATACTCCGTCTCGACACACGTAAACTTTTTGCCAGTACGCACTGTTTCAGCTCCTTTATATTTTTTGTGATCGTAACTATTGACAGGAGAAAGTACGCGGATTCATTAAAGCGAATAAGGTTTTTATTTTTATTTGACGATCGTTAGCGACAAAAACGCGGCTTAATTGCCCATTGGGCATCAGTTGATTCTTGACGAGTGTCATTTCAAATTTCACTTCAAACTTTTATTTTTAAATTAAAAGAAAAAAGAAAAGATAAAAAATCATTAAGTTTCTACTAATTAGAAAAGATATAAGTGAAAAGAAAAAATAATAGGATCAATGAAAATCATCGAGGAACGAACGAGTCGCAAGTAACAATTGCTGTTTTATGAATGAACTGCAAGCACACTCGAGCGCACAAATTATTTAAATGCAATGCAAATCGTATTTATTTTTAATAAAATTAATGATTACTACGAGACCTGTTAGCCTGTAGTAAAATTTGGCATTAATATTTGAATTGTTAGGATATGAATTATTTATTAATATTCTTACTATGTAAAGTGTGTAAAATGGTATAAAGTTGAACGTGTTACGTGTGTTTCACAACTGAATATTTTAAAGATAACAAATAAAATTAATCACCAATGGTCATATTGAACAAACGGGATCGTCTGCGGGGGACGAGTTTATGTTTGGCTTTTGTTTACGGCATTCCACATCAACGACCGAGCTCTTTAACTTTATTAATGAATCTTTAAGAATCAAATAAATCATTGTTGCTGTAAGAACATAAAAAATAAACAACAGGTATATCGAACACCCGAAAACTATTTATCTTAAATGGCAACACAAAAAGCCGCGAGGCAGAGCAAGTGTATGCGTTTTTGTGCGGCCCGCGCCCGGGCCTACCTGCGCGCAATAAAACCAGCGCGACGGTGACGTTTGTAATCATGACCCGACGCGGAAAAAACATTCTGCATTGTTTGATTTCACTTTGATAAATCATAAAATGAATACCACAAAATTTCGTGCAAACAAAACCAAAAAAATGGACTCTACATTCAAAGAAAAATCATTTTGTTTGTATGCCCTCCGCTCGTTACAGACAATTCGTGCACAAACATAGTTTTTGTACTACACTGCATTCGTTAGAAGTCTAGTGTGCATGAGCTTGTTCTATGTACTGTCAGTGTCCCTAAGCTAATAATTGTGTTTTTATACAAGAAACTCACTCACTGAAATATTTTAGGCAAATTTTGTTAGGAATTTGTGCAATAAAAGTCATTTCCATATTTCAATTTCTATAAAGAACTTTTTTAATATATATCATTATATACGTCGTAGGTACATTATTTTTATATAGAAAAAATACCTATTTTTACAAGTTTAAGTACCAAGGTTGGCCACAAATACATACAAACGAAAAAACAACAAAACAAGTAAAAAACAGGAATAAAACCATTTTGGCATCGTGTCTGCATCGTTTTAATATTTTTAATAAATTATGTGCGGGACGTAGTGTGGCGTCCGCGGGGGCGCTCGGATCGCTCAATAAACACTTAAAACAAAAATTGCACTTACTGACGTTACTTGAATTCCTTTACAAAAACAAGCTTCGACCCGATTCATATTTTTTACTTTCGTCGTCAGACTAATTGTTAAATTTACAGTAATAGCAACAATTTAAATTTAATCCACACCACAATGACTCCCTACTGACAGGTAGGTTTGTATGAACATCATATTTCCATAACTCTATTAAATAAATTCGATGAAATCGTCCTTTACGAAAGTGAATAGCGCAAGGCACTCCTCGCCGGACGGCCGGGCGGCGCCGGGGCCGGGGCCGACGGGCGGGGACTAGCTACCGTACTTACCGAGCGGCCGCGCGGCGAGGGTGCGAGCGTCGCCGGTCCTCCTCCCAGTAAGCTCTTATTATCAATTAGACTATCTAGCTAAACGTCTCGGCGTACACTCCGAACCCGGCGCTCGACAAAGTATAAACGATTACTGGCTTTCGATCTTAACATTACTCACATAATTAAATGACTTCACTGAAATTATAGAGAACAACTTAAACGTAGCGGATAGTCCACGAGACGGGCCCGCGCGCGAACTATTTACATTGCGCGGACCCGCCGTCACTGTGCGCCGCGGCACGTCCCGGCGGCGGCGCTATGTACACGTGCGATCCCGCGGGCGGCGCTAGTGCGGCTCCGCGTAGTAGGGCCGCGGCGGCGCCCACGGGGCGAACTGTTAGTGCGCGGCCAGCGTGTGCCCGCCCTGCGCCAGCCCGTGCTGCGGGGACAGCCCCGGCGGCGAGTGCGAGTGCTGCAGCGGCGAGCCGTGCATGTCGTGCCCGTAGTGCGCGTGGCCCATGCCCTCCATCATCTCGCTGCCCAGCGTGTTGGGCGGCGTCATGCGCTTCTCCTTCTGCCGCCGGTTGCAGAACCACACGCGCACCACCTCCTTCTCCAGCTGCAGGCTGTCGGCGAGCGACGTGATCTCCTGCGCCGACGGCTTGGGCTGCTTGTGGAAGTGCTGCTCGAGCGCGCCCTTCACCGACACCTCTATCGACGTGCGCTTCTTGCGCTTGCGGCCCTGCGCGGCGATCTTGTCGATGCTCGTGGGGCTGCCCGTGGTCGAGTCGGCCTCCTCCAGCCACTTCTGCAGCAGCGGCTTCAGCTTGCACATGTTCTTGAAGCTCAGCTGGAGCGCCTCGAACCGGCAGATGGTGGTCTGCGAGAACACATTGCCGTAGAGCGTGCCGAGCGCCAGGCCCACGTCGGCCTGCGTGAAGCCGAGCTTGATGCGGCGCTGCTTGAACTGCTTGGCGAAGGCCTCCAGGTCGTCGCTGGTGGGCGTGTCCTCCTCGGGCTGGTCGCGCTCCAGCGCGTGGTGGTGGTGCAGCGGGTGCGGCGAGGGCTGCACGTCGCGCAGCATGTGGTGCTGGTGCATGGGCACGGGGTAGCCGCCGTGCAGCGCCACGGGCGAGGCGGCGCCGTAGTGCGCGCTCACGACGGGCGCGTGCCAGCCGTGCGCCGCGTGCTGCAGGTGGCGGTGCTCGTGCGGCGCGGGCGGCGGCTTGACGTCGGGCTGGTGCGCGTGCGAGTGGTGCTGGTGCATGGCCCAGGGGTCGGCGGGCGGCAGCGACGCCCAGGGGTTGCCCAGCACGGGCGCGCCCGGCGACGGCGAGCCGCCCGTCTGCAGGTGGTGCTGGTACTTCATGTCCGCCGGCTCGGCGGCGCTGCGCGGCGACGCTGCGTGATACCCGCCGATGTTGCCGAGGTCCATCTCGGCGGGCATGTACGTGGTCGCCGCCATGGCGCCGTACCTCAGATCCACGGTGGACGGCGTCTTGCCGGCTCGAAGGCTCTCGAGCCTTCAACTGGCGTACTTGTTCGCGAAAATAGCGCGTGTGTCGCGCGGCGCTGCGGTAGCGTTGGCCACCTCACATCACCGAGTTCGACAGCGAGCGACATGCGCGTGCGTGCGCGACGGCAGCACGGTGCGGACTGTGGGGCGCCGCGCCGCTGCGCGCGCCCGCCGCTCGGAGAGGGGCGGCCCCGCCCAGCGCCGCCCGCTAATGACGATGTAATTACTGCGCCCCGCCCCGCCCCGCGCCCGCGCCCCCCGCCGCCGCCGCCGCCGGCCGCCGCGCGCCGGCCGCGCGAGCACCTGACGCCGACGCTATCAATTAATGATTGAAAATTGTTAATAATTAACGGCGTTTACATAATATTAACTCACTTCACATTGATTGTTGCTAAAAAATATTAAATAAAAAGCAAAGAAAATATGATTTAGTTTATTATGATTGTTTTAAAAATATTTTTTGTTTATTTTAATGTTTAAAATTAAAAATCCAAAAAAAATTGGAAATGTTATTTTAAAATGTTACTATAATAGAGAAATACTAAATTTGTAATATAAAAAAAACTGTGCTCACTTACCCACATTATTTGCTTCAATGGAACATGCAACTTGTTTGGGCTCAAAATAGTAAGAACTTTTGCCACACTTTTACCGCGTTTTACTTCGTTTTTAAGTGATGAAAATTAACGTAAATTATGGTTAATTTGAATAATTATTGTGATACATTTTAAATATTTTGATAATTTTTTTCTATGATATTTTCATTAATTTATTTGAAAAAGCGTTGGTAATTTATTAAAAAAAACAAACATAAATTACACTGATTTTTTGACAAATAATTTGATTAGATAAACTAGATAGGTACTAGTGATGCGAAAAAAAAGTTTATTTAGAACAGAATTAATTTAATAAAAATTTACGTAAAGTAGCCTACGACTTTTAATAACAAATTAACTTGTGGTAATATTGTGACGCATAATTACTACCTCCACATGTTTGAGCATGCATTACAATGTAAAATGATTATACACGATTATATTAACACCAGTCGCGTACCCCACTGGCGGTGTACATGTCATTGCTTGCATTTATTTACACTCAACTCAAGACACTTATGACTTTTACTATCTATTAAAATTAAATTATGCAAATCTAAAGCAAGTAGCGAATCAGCACCAGGCGGGCCCGAGACGTCAGGCCGCGAGCCATATTACACGAAGATCCGAAAAATTTACGAAAAACCAAATTAATTATATGTTAATATAATCTACTAACAGTTGTACCTGTTACAATACGGTATCAAACTGGATTAGTATCGCTGTCATAAATAAAGCACTTAGCATAGCATTTGAATAATGTGATATTTTAAAAATTATTTCATTGACACATATTTTTAAATAAATAAAAAAGTAATAAAAAAAAAGTGACATGTATAAGATAATATTTTTGATTGGTTTTTTTTTTATTTGCAAGTATAATATTGCTATTAATTATTGACATGGTTAATTTTGACATCGGTATAGATTGTGATTAATTGTAATTTTGCATGCTTATTTATTATGCTTATATTATTATTGTACCTATTTCCAACACAATTTATATTGTTTTTAAATGGAATAAACTTATGACTTATGACTTTTTTGCATGTGATTTAAAATTAAAATAATATATTTAAAAAATTATTGTTAATGACAAAATAACATAGTGATTTAAAATAAGTAGACCGATTTCGCCAATGTTTCACCATTTTATAAAAAAATTAAAGTTTGCTTTGCTTCATATTCCAAGACAAGTCATTCCTTCACTTTGCTAAAAGTGGTGTTGAACATAAACTACTAGCGACATCTCTCGGTGAGTAGGCGAACTAGCGGCGCGGGTTCACAACTAAAATGTTTGTTTTGGTAATTTCGCGTATGAATTATGTATGTCATAGCACATACAGAGTACGTTTTTAGTTTCTTTAATAAACCCCACGCTTTGTGTTGTTGCGAAAACTCTCGGTTTTGGCAGTTATTTGTTCCCGATCGGTAAATGAACTCTAAACAAGAATGAAGAAAATATTTTATTGTTCTTATGGAGTAAAACTTAAGTTAATACTGTTAATTTACAATTACAAATTGTATTTACTATTAAATTAGTGGAGATGTTCTATTATGTATTCATACGGAGCACATGTATTAATAGTAGTAGTATAGGTACCTACATATTAATTTAATTTTTCAATTCTTTATAGGTACCTATCTATGTTGTAATATCTATAATTATTATCTTTTGAGTGTATAAAATCTTAATTTTGAATTTGCTAACCATACTAACATTATTAGACTGGGTATGTAGGTAGTACAAATTCTAATAATTTAATAAACAAATAAATTTTATTTTATTCTCTTTAAATAAGTCCTAGATGCTTAAATACTACTTGTTTCACAAATATTTCTCTTACACATAAAATTAATTTATGATAAAATATGTTAATAATATTAATGTTCACCTATTCAGTGTATAGAAGTGAAGTCTAGCGCCATCTAGTGACGAGTGGCAGAACTACGTGACACGCACCCTCCGAGCCGTGCAGGGGGATGTATCGAGGGTTGAGTTACCGTCGCCACCGCGGGTATGAACCACTTTTGAATTGTTACAAGAAATCTCATTTGAAAGAAATATCATCTAACACAGAAAGGTAACTATGATATTCAAAGAATACAACAAACACGGTCTTAACAGAATACTTATTGAGGATATTCTTTGTTTTAATTAGAATTAAATAGTAAGTACTTTGCATTTCATAATGTTTTTCTCTGGTAAGAATATTTTGATAAAACCAATAGGAAGCAAAACAAAAGGTAGAGTCAAAAATAAAGGAAACTACCTATATTACGAGTAAACTAAGTTACATAGTACTTATTGCATTATTTACTATAAAATTCACTGACTAAATTCTTAAGAAATATTAGTACGGTGCAAAAAAGGATTTGGTAAGTTTAACTTAACTTATTATAAAAATTAAAAGAAGACTACTTAGCAGACTTTTAGTTTTCTTATAAGAAAATTGGAACGTTCAGTTGTAACTTGTATGTCCAAATTATAAAAAAGGACGACATCCTATTTCACTATATTACACCAAAAACTTTGGCAATTACGTTTAGAGTACTATATATTTATAAATGTTATAAGTCCAAATCTTATAAGACCGAATTCTCCTTCTCTGAAGCTTATAAATTACAATGTCTCCAATTTGTCTTTTTAAGATGTCATTATTGCTTGCTAATAACATTAATTCCAAAATAAAATAGACACCAGAAACTCAGAAAAACTCACTAACTCTATCACGACGGCACTTAGACGACGTATCAATATCCAAGTGCCGTTATTATCCAATAAGAACATAATATACTATTCCAATACTACAGCTCTCCTCGTTGACCAACGCAGCGCAAACAGGGGCCGAACGTTGTTAGTTCTGAGGGAGCTCGGCCATCGATAGTAAAATGTGTGAAAATCGAACAGCCAAGTACAAATGCAGGAGTAAGTGGAGATTTAAATAACAAGGGCTACGGGTAAAGTACCCCAGTGTTAGAGTGTCATACGGCCTAAATCTGTCACGCCATATTGGTAAGGAAATGTATGTCTCCAATTTCAGGGGTGTTTCTAATAATTTTCATAATACGTAATAACAATTTTAAAAATGAAAGTACTTATTTCGAATTTTCTCATTAAAATACTGCATAATTCAATTTGAAAGTATTCATATGCTAGCTGCTAAATAAATTACAAATATGGAATATAAGAAAGTAAAGTTATTACAGTAAAATTTATTAAAAAATAAAGATATTCTATTCTTGGTTTTGAATAGTAATGATAATCTTATTACTTATAGAATTCAAATAAGACACTTAAGTACTTAAAGTATCAAAGTTTATAGCAACCGGTTATTTCCGAAAGAAACAAAGCATTTAAAACGAACTAAAGCTATTTTTATTCAGTTCATTGTGTAGAACGTTAACGTGCTGACCGATAAATTGCAATTTCCTTGAAATATTTTGAATTTCGTTCATGTCGAGCCTTGAGCGATCATCTGCCGTTTTCAATCGGCGAGCGCGTGTCCAATGCATCGGTTCCGTCGGCGATCGCCTTGTAACATCTCAAAAAGGACGTCTATTTATACAAAGTTCATGGGACCGACTGTTTACCACGACTCTATATTTTGTTATAAATACCTATTTAAAAATATTTCTCCGTGTTTTAACACCGAAATACCGAGCTGTCAGATTTACGAAATGAACGTGCGAAAGACATTAATTAAAGATACAAAGCACAGGGTCAATAATTTCACTAGCCAGGGTTATGTCAGTTGACTTTTTGACCAAACTGCATGCATGACAAGTATTATTTTTTACATGCTTATTGCCCATCGATCCGACAAGGTTTAAATCTTGCTCCAGTAAAATATAAAATCTAGACCAAAGTTCCGAGGAGTCCTAACCTATAGTGATCAAGCGGCAAGCGGCTGTTAAGATACTAGCCAACTACCAAATATTTACACTATACTATATCAGAGGTTGCCTCAATCTCCTTACAATACCCATTTGTGTGTATGAACAATTCTGATTGATTCTGTTCAATTCAATCTAGGTGTTTTTATACATATAAATAATAATAGTGTATGTTTAAATACATTTTCTGGTAAGTAAGTAAGTTTTGCTTAGTTTGGGAGTTGATAGTGCAGTGTAAAATGTTCAAAAATCTGATTGTCATTTGAAGTAAGTACTCGCAGCAACTTTATTAAGAGAGATTTGTATCAAACTAAAAATGTTCGTGAGCTAAAACGTAGACAAGGGCCTGTCATAGGGTAAGTGCGCTAGTTTTCGTCCAATTATCGGAGTTGCCAACTTTGTGATGCGAAATGAATATCTTAAAATACCCTTACTCATATGTATCATATGTCATTTTAGTCCTTATATAGTCTACTTTACGTTAATATTATATGGCAATAAGTAAATACCACGGGTTTTTTTATAAAAAATATTTTATGCAAAAGAGGCGATTTCACTAGTTTTCGTCCAAAAAAATCAGTTTTCGTCCTAGTGTACGCTAGTTTTCGACCACTGTGTAGAAAAAAGGGTGCAGTTGAATTATTAACTTAAAACCAATTCTATA